GTGCCCAGGGTGCTTTCTGGGGACCCCCAGAACCTGTGTATGTCTCTCTCAGGGCCCTTGCACGTTCCCCCATGTTGGGCTGTTGAGTCAAGGAGGAGGGGGAGGCAGCCAACCGCTGCTAGGGGCTTGGAGCTTGTGGTGAGCAGGGTCCTGGCCGAGACCTGGGGTAAGTGCTGCTGGGCCTGGTGCTCCAGAGGGCAGACCTGGGCCCTGCCTGACAGTGGAGCCTCTTGGAGGGGCTGCCAACAGCACAGGCCGGCCCCTGGAGGGGCTCTTGAGCACAAGTAGTGTGAGCGGCATGGGAGTCCCTCCTTGCTGTGGCCTCAGCCTGTTCCTCCTGAGTGGGGTGGGGGGCCTGCTTTGCCTCAGAGCCCCTCCCCTAGCTAAGCCCCCTGCAGCACCCGCCCCCCACTGTCCCCCACACCAGGCGTCATCCACAGCAGCCCCCAGGGTCGCCCTCACGGGGTGTATGGGGCACAGGACTCCTGAGGCCCTGGCTTCTCGACAGCATCCAGCTCACAGAGTTGGATAGCTGAGTCTCCATCACCGGGCAGGCCAAGCATGTGGCGTGTGATGCTCGCCAGGGGGCGTGTGCTCTGCACCTGTTTGATTCTCAGAACCCGGGAGGGTTCCGGAGCCCAGGCTGCCAGTGGGCCTGGTGGTGTCCCTGGGTGGGCCCGGCCCCACAACGGCCTGTGCTGCTATTGCAGCTGACGTGGACGCCTTCAATCTGCTCCTGGAGATGAAGCTAAAGCGGCGGCGTCAGCAGCCCAACCTGCCGCGCACTGTGACCCAGCTGGTGGCTGAAGATGGGAGCAGGGTGTACGTGGTGGGGACAGCCCACTTCAGCGACGACAGCAAGAGGGACGTCGTGAAGGTGAGCGCCACCACCCGCCACAGCCCGGACGCGGGTTGGTGTAAGCTCCTGTGTCCTGCACTCAAAGGGACCTCGTGGCAGGGCCCGTGTGCCCGTGTGTGTGCACCGCAGGCCATCTGCTTCAACACTCTGTGGTCCCTGGGAGTTTCGCGGTGGGCTTCCTGCCTGGGAGCCATAACAGCCTCGTGCGTCTTCCCACTTGACAAGTGAACAAGCTTCACAGCTTCCTCTCTTGTTGCTTGAAGAATCAAGCTGTCACTGCAGCAGCGGGGTTAGCTAGCCCTGGGTGACGCCAACGCTGGCTGCTCCTGGGATGGGGCCCCTAGTGCTGGTGTCAGCTGTGCTGAGGGGCAGGGAGCTGGCCATGTTCACAAGGCGTGGCCTGCGGCTGTTGCAGACCATCCGGGAGGTGCAGCCTGACGTGGTGGTCGTGGAGCTCTGCCAGTACCGTGTGTCCATGCTGAAGATGGATGAGAGCACGCTGCTGCGGGAGGCGCAGGAGCTCAGCCTGGAGAAGCTGCAGCAGGCCGTGAGGCAGGTGCGCAGCCGAGGGTCAGGGTTAGGGTCAGGGTCAGGGTCAGGGTCAGGGTCAGGGTCAGGGTCCGGGTTAGGGTCAGGGTC